TAAACTTGCTTTTTAAAAAAATTTTTATTTTTTTATTTTATGTGTATGCATGTATTGCCTGCATGTAGGTCAGTGCACCCGTGTCCTGCAGTGCCCACAGAGGTCAGAAGAGGCTGTCAGATCCCCTGGGACTGGACTTAAAGTTGTTAGCTGCCATGTGGGTGCTGGGATTCAAACCCAGGTCTTCTGCAAGACCAACCAGTGCTCTTAACTGCTGAGCCATCTCTCCAGCCCCGTAAAAGTGATTAAGGAAAACACTCAACATCAGTCTCTGACCCCCACACAATGCACACATGTCAACAGGCACCCACATGCATACATGTATACACACAGACATACACAAATGAAACACAAAGACTCAGTTTTTGTTTTGTTTTTTTTTTATTTATTTTTTTTAGTCTTTATGTTTTTTGTTTTTTTTGTTGTTTTTTTTATTTTTAAAAATGATTTATTTAATAACAACATACTTAGAAGAAGCATATCATTACAACACAATTGACATATTCAATAACATTTTCCTGAGGTAGGATGCATCTCTTTCAAATTTGGCTGTAAATTTTTAGGTTTACAGTTGAATTATTACAGTTATACAATATTGTACTCAGTATAAACCCTATAAGACATAAATTAAATGATGTTTTAACCTTTAAAAAGATCTCCATTTCATTATTAAAATACACAGTTTCATATAGAAAAATTCTTTTTCAATGCAATTGACATTGGATGTTTGCACATGCATTTCTAATCTCTAAATATCTGATTATTACTAGTCACAGTTGGTTACTTTCTGAGCTTCTAGGCATCTGAGCATGGATATAAAGTCATCAGGTAGATTTCAATGGTAATGTTTTTCACATCTACTAATTATTGTTTTTTAATCATTATTTTTTTAATTTTTTTTTTCATACAGAAGAATTCATTCCAAAGCAATTGACATTGAGACGTTTTCACATGCATTTCTAATCTCTATATACATGACTATCACTGGTCACAGTCGCCCACCTTCTGAGCTCCTTGGCATCTGAGCATGAATACAAACTCGTCAGATAGACAGCCTTCCTCTCCCACTAGAGGCTCCATACTCTGCCATCCCTGTCACTGTCCACTGTGTTGTCAGCACCCTCATCCATTCCCCCTGTCTGCCCTTCTGGTAAATCTAGTCAGCCAGAGGTCCCTGTTCCAGGAGGGTCAGCTGTTCCTCATCTACGGCAATCCATTGTCAGTATTCCTTTGGATAGAATTGGGGTCTGCTGTTCATTTTTCCAGTAGTATGTTGTGTTACTGTCTGGAAGAGCCTTTATCTATCCTAGCCAACAACTCGACTGAAGGTATCGCCTGTCTGGCTTTGTTGTTTGTCGAGTAACTTTTAGTTGTGTATATGTATGTTCTTATATTATGTTGGCTCCTTTAATCTTTGGTTATACTTCCATCTTGGGTGTTTAAGGACATACAATTGGACCAGATAAACTGATTTGTTTTTACTCTTGAGGTCGTTAGAGGATTTGTTCCTCAGGGGTCCCATGGGGTTGGGAGGAGCCCCTGGCTCCTTTCTTTTACCAGCTCCATCCATGTGAGGATAAGTCAAAGGTCCTGCTCGACCATTGTTGGCTCCTCTTGGAAGCATGGAGGAAATGATTCCTCCGTGTTGACCCTCCTCTTTATAGACTGGACACTGGCTCAAGTCCATCTGGTGGGGTTTCCCTGTAGCCCCAGCTGGCCTGGAACTTGACCAGGCTCCAGGCTGGCCTCAATCTTACAAATCTCTACCTGCCTCTGCCTCCTGATTGCTAGGATTAAAGGCATGCACCACAACTCCCCACTTGGCAAAGTCTGAGGTTTTATAATGGCCTTTGAAGTTCTACCAGTGGAGTCCTCTTCCTTTACCTTGCTCCCCACCTCAGAACTCTGAGCCCATCTGCCTCCCTGTCATGGATGTCCTATGTCAGAAACATAGATGGACACATTAGTGCCTTTATCTTTTTTTTAATTTTATTTTTATTTTGTGTTTTACCTGTATGTAAGCGTAGCCATGCATGCAATGCCCACAGAGGCTAGAAGGGAGCATCAGATCCCCTGGAACTGGGATTACAGGCAGTTAGCTACCATGTAAGTGTTGGGAACTGAACCTGGGTCCTCTGCAAGAGCAGCCAGTGCTCTTAACCACTGAGCCATCTCTCCAAGCCCCCATTTGTGTCTTTCTACAGTGTTGAAATTTATTGCATTACAATGATAAGTTCACAAGCTACTACATCAGTTTCCTTGGCTACAATTTGCCAAGTAATTCTGAATTCCCTTGACAGGCCAGCCATTGGTGATCTCAGGTTCTTTTACCCCAATCTTAACTACTTTTAACTCTGATCACACATTGTCCTTCACACAATAATAAGCAAATATGTAGATTATAGAATAGCTAAGAAAGGGTTAAGGAAGCTGCAGGGTTCAGAGGCTGTCTGGAAGTGAGAGACAGAGCTGATAAGGATGAGTGGGGGCAGGGAGGACAGAGAAGTCCTGGAACAGAGCTGGACAGTGCAGGTATGTCAAGTGCAGATAGATGCAGGTTAGGATAGAGACCATTTCAAGGGTCATTTTAGGGCAGCTAAGTGTCCTGAGCACGAGGAGCTACACTTGAACTGGAGTCCAGGAACAGAGGCAGGAGTCCTCAACTGTGTCAGTTTTCCTGGGTGAGGCTTGTACTGAATGACCAAGTGACTAGATGCATGCCTGCCACATTTCAGTCTGAGTACTCATTGTTCAAGTCTCCGGTGGGAGGTTACCTCTGGTGTGCCTGATAAGCTCACTTGTCTGGTATTTCTGGTGGGATTTGCATATATACAGGTGTCATGTTTATCATTTGTGTTTCCTGCTGTGGTAGCAGATGGTGGTTGTTTACTGTGTAAACAAGATGTGGCATTCTTGACCCACTCACCTCAGGTCAAGACTGTTGCTTTATAAAATGGGAGTCCTTCAGGGCTAAACACAGCCAGGAAGCTTCCATTTACATAACAGAGTAAGTCACAAGTCTAACCTGCTCTCTTCACTCCCCTCCAACAAGTCTCTCCAACCACAGCTCTCCCCAAGCACCTGGGGGCCACAGGGCCCTTGTGCACATTCTTTCCTCTGCCTGCAGTGTTCATGCCCAGCTTTGACTTGCTCCTAGGCCTTAGTCACATGTGTTCAAATGTCCTCTTTGTTCACCCCACATAAATGGTACACACCCTTGCTGGTTCCCCAAGCCTCCTTTGTTACAGTGAGTTCTGCCCTAGAGGCATTGCCTACCTGTGCATAGTGGGAGTGCTCGATGTGCTCTCAGTGAATTTAATGTGACTTCATGAAGCCCAATGCTCAGATCCCCATGACTTTGGCTTCTGACTGATCAGTCTGTGTTTCCATCACTGAAACCTGACTTGCCATCATGTATGTGGTGACCTGACCTGCTCTAGCATCTGGCTACAAGGGCAGATGAAGTGACTCAGTGTGTCCTGCATGGCATCCCAGCAGCAGAGCACATAGACATGCACCAAGCATTTTGAAGACTTGAATATTTCATTGTTTCACATTGCACTGAATAGCAGGACTTTTTTGAGGCCTGCAGATTCTAGACTTTTTCATTTCATGGCAGAGGTTATGATAAAATTGTCTTAAGTTTTCTCCACTACATAGTTAAGCAGATTCTTACTTTCCTCCATAATGCCATGAAACAAAATTACCATGGTATCTAGTATGTCTGTCAGATCCCAGGAACCCCAAGGGTAGGGTTGGAATGAAGGTAGAAGGATGAGGGGCAGGCTTAGCATCCTGTAGCAGTTCACAGTGGAGTGTGGCTTTTCCTCCTCTCTAGTTCGAAAAGAACACAAAATCTGATCTGCTGCTCAAGGAACTGTATGTGGAAAATGCTCATCTCATGAAAACTCTTCAGCTCACAGAAGAGAAACAGCGAGGTGCCGAGAGGAAAAACCACATCTTGGAAGAGAAAGTTCGTGCTCTCAACAAACTGATCAGTAAGATTGCCCCTGCATCACTCTCTGTGTAAAGACTGCTTGTTTTCCTAGTTCACTTGAAGGAACATCTTTTAAGATGATACAGCTCAGATGCCGTAATTTTCAATGGCTCACTTGCCATGTGCCTTCAGAAACACAAAGGTTGAGATTCCTTGTTTACCCTACAACCATTTGAAAATGTCCACTGTGTGCTGGGCACTGGAGAAGCCAGTGTGGCACAGCAGACTGTTGTGGTTAATGGTCTTGGGTATCTTCCTCAATCAAGTTTCCAGCTTTAATAGTAATGAGAAGGACTCTGGAGGCGCTCATCAAGAACAACTAAAAGAAAGTGGTTAAATACTTTCAGTGTTGTCCTTAGGGCTGGTAAGACTGAAAGGCAGAGTCAGGGCTCTGCATGCTTTACCATTTCACTGTCCTGCTGTAAGCTGTATCACTAGAGCTCTCCATGTTGGACAGTATGTGCTCCAGGAAGGGGGTACTCCCTGGGCATTCAGGCTGCTGCCCCTAGAGATTGGGAGGAGGATGGTGTCACAGAGCCTGTGGAGGCTGTGGGCTCAGGGATGGCAGTATTCATTGCAAGTGCAAAATGTTGTCACACTGGAAATTGTACATATTTTTTTAAAAGGTAAGTTTTATACTCAAATAAATTATGGCCATTTGGTTTACCAGAATATTACTGTTCTATGAAAAGTCGCTGTATTTATAATAACTTTTCTATTAAAACTGACTTAACTCTTTGGGTTTTTTCTAGTTTTTTAAAGTCATAAAGTATTTTATACATATGGAAAATAGTTTTATAAGAACCACCCATAGGCTGAGGAGATGGCTCAGTGGATAAAGCACTTGCTATGCAAGCCTGAGGACGAGTTCAGATCCTCAGAACCCACATAAAAGTCAGGCGGGTGTGGTGGCTGCCTGTAATTCCAGCACTCAGGAGGCAGAGACATGGGGTCCCTGAGGCAAGCAGCTAGCTAGACCAGTTCAATAAGAGAGCATGCCTCAATAAGTAGAGATCAAGCCAGGCATGGTGGTGCACGCCTTTAATCCCAGCACTCAGGAGGCAAAGGCAGGCGGATCTCTGTGAGTTCAAGGCCAGCCTGGTCTACATAGTGAGTTCCAGGACAGCTGGGGCTACAGGGAGACCCTGTCTCAAAAAGACCAAAAAAAAAAAAAAAAAAAAAAAAAGTAGAGATCTGTCAAGGAAGACACCCTATGTCAACTTCAGACCTCTACCTGCACCTGCATACCACATGCATACCTACAACATATGCACACACAGGTGAACATGAGTATAAACACATATACACACACTACACACATATATGTATGTAGTTTTCAAAAAGAAGAAAAAAGCAGCAGCCATCAGCTGAATCTATCTAAGATGAGATCCTGGTGTAACCCTGTAGTTAGTTGGAAGAGGAGAGGAAGAGCCCACTCTATGACTTTCAGGCCCCTTCCTCTTCCTCTTCCTGGGGACACCTGTTCTGCAGCACATCAGCTCACCTGTGTTGGTGCTTACCATACATGCGTGTAGGGGAACAACTTGACAGCACTATGGAAAGACCCATGAGTGGAGTAAACAGAAGTATCAGTTTGGGGATAGGAAGACTTAACACTGTGAAGCTGAAAGTTCTTCAAAGATCATATCCTTCCAATAAAAATATAAACAGAGCTGCATCAGTGGCACATACCTTTAACCCCAACACTTGGGAGGCAGAAGCAAGTAGATCTCTTGAGTTCAAGGCCAGCTAGTAGACATAGCACATTCCAGGACAGCCAAGGCTACACAGTGAGACCTGGTCTCAAAAAAAAAAGGGGGGGGGCGGTTCCCTACTCTGGTCAATGCCTCACCCGCAGAATGGACACTTGTAAAGTTTATAGAATCTAGCTCTACCAACCTAGTTTGTTACACCAGCATAGGCATTGTCAAAGCTCCCAGCACCTACACTTCTTTGTTTGCTTTGGGCTTCTAACTGGAACTGAAGTAAAAGGAGATGAGGAGCCTGGGGATATGGCTTAGTTGGTAAAGTTCTTGTTGCACAAGTATAAAGGCCCAAGTTCAGATCCCCAGAACCCATAAAAAGCTGGGCATATGCCTTTAATCCCATTTCAGGAGAGGGAGACAGGAGAATCCCTGGAGCTAGTTGGCCAGCTAATCTAGCTGAATCAGTGAGCTTGAGGTTCAGTGAGAGATCCTGGCTCAAAAAAATAAGGTGGAGAGCAATTAGGTAGATACCCAACTTGACCTCTGGCCTCCATATGCATTAGCACCAATATGTACACACACACACACATGCACGTACAAAGTAGATTGGTTAAAGACCTAAAAACATAATCAGCAAACTGACATCTATAGAAAACTGCCACCCCCCCCCAACAGTAACAGTAGTAAGTGTACACCTGTAACATTTATCATGATAGACCATGCTTGGGGCCTTAATACAAGTCTCAAAAAAAAAAATCAAAGATAATAATCATAATGATATCTACTATCTTATGCTAATTTATATTATTTTTTAAATTAAAAAGATAATGTGCCAGGCGTGGTGGCACACGCCTTTAATTCCAGCCCTCAGGAGGCAGAGGCAGGCAGATCTCTGAGAGTTCAGGCCAGCCGGGTCTACATAGAGAGTTCCAGGCCAGCTGTGGGGAGACCCTGTCTCAAAAAAGACAAAAAAAAAAAAAAAAAAGAAAAGATAATGCAAGAGGTTGGGCATGGTGGCTCACACCTTTAATCCCAGCAGTTGGGAGGCACAGAGGCAGGTGGCTCTCTGTGAAATGGAGGCCAGTTTGGTCTACATAGTGAGTTTCAGGCCAGCTGGGGCTACAGGGAGACCGACACACACAAAGCGACCTTCTGGAGATGGCTACTTTTGCCAACTAGATTTAGTTCTATCCACTTGCTAGTTAACATATATATATATAATGTTTTATACATACAGTTAAGTCAAATTAGAGCCCAAAACCAGAATATTAGTTGAAGCTTGTAATCCCAGCACTTAGGAGGCTGAGGCAGAGCATTACCAAAGTTTCCAGGCCATTCTGAGCTACATAATGAGTTCCAAGATAGCCTGGACTACAAATGACACCCTATCTCAAAAAACAAAAACAATAGCTGAAAAGCTCCAAATATTTGGAATCTGAACAACACATGAAACAAGAGATCAGAGGATATATTAGCAGAGTACAGATCAGTCAGTTTTCTGTCACTGTGACAAATACACAAGAGAATCAGTAAGGGAAAAGGTTTATTTTGGCTCAGAGTATCAGAGGTTGGTTTCAGTTCAGTAGCACTTGGGACCTGTCGTGGCACAGTACATCATGGTGGGAATGTAGTGGGAAGTTTGTGTTCATGGCAGCCAGGAAGTGATGGAGAAGGGGCTAGGGTTCAACTATCCCCTTCAAATGTACTCCATCAGTGACCTAACTTCCTTCTATTGGGTCCACCTTTTAAAGGTTTCAGCACTTTCCAGTATTGCTAAGCAGAAAACCAAACCATTAATACATGAGCTTCAAGGGACATTCTAGAGCCAAACTATGGCAGAGGTTGCTGCCCGACTTCCCTCTGGGTGTTCTGCATGAGCAGACAAACCATATAATATATTTTATGTGAGTTTATTAACTTACAAAGGAATGAGTACCCAGTGCCTAGCCCCACACCTCGACTCAGAGCCCACCTTATCAGACCGTGTCACGCCCATAGTCACCGCTAGCATTCGCTCACACCTCCGGGGCCAGCGATCACCCCAGGTCCACAAGAGTCAGTTCATTCTGTCCTTAAACTGCTGAGCAGCTGGCTGTGCATCCCCCACACCAGTGCGCTACCTGGAGCTTGTGGCTTCCATCCCAAGATGGCTCCCAGCAGCCCCTTTTTGTAGTCCATGCTCCGTGTTAAGCTTGGAGGAACCAGCCAGTAGGAAGACACTCCACCCCTTTCCTCCGCTCTTACAATCTTCCCATACATCTTCCACTAAAGTCCCTGAGCCTTGGAGGGGGTAATAGGTGTAGGGCGATCTCTCTTGTATCATGGCAAGATAGTGGCTTCTTGGGCCTCCCCATTAGTCATCTTTAGGCTGTGGCCACTGATCTATCTCAATAGTGTTTCTTCTACTGTAAAGACAAATGGGCACTTGGGAGGCAGAGGCAGGTGGATCTCTGGGAGTTCAAGGCCGGCCTGGTCTACATAGTGAGCTCCAGGACAGCTCGGGCTACAGAGAGACCCTGTCTCAAAAAGATAAAAATAAATAAAGACAAATGGAAGGAAGTAGACACATTTAAACAAACATGAATAAATACAAATGCCTAAACAATATCCCAGTAGGTGTACTATACTCATTAAATAATATACTCACGATGGCTTCTCCACTAGGGCCTGTAGCCTGTCTCGACACAAGGCTTTGGCCTGGTCTACAGCACCAGATGTGTGTTTCACCCCTAGGAGCAGGCCTTATCCAATTAGAAATTTGTCAGTTGTACGTGTGTTGATCAAGCCATTACTGCACCTGCAGGTATTGCTTGGCATGTCCATAGTGTGCAACACGCAGGTGAGTGGAATTACAGGGGATCCTTTCTTCCCCAACCATCCACATCTATATGAACATCATCCATCCGGTGGCACAGAGGGTTTTTTTCTTTTTTTTTTTTTTTGGCTTTGTCTCAGTGTACAACTGACATTAATGGCAATAGCCTTGGTGAATTGGAGAACCTCAAGGAGGATCTTTCTCTGACCAACAGGTCATAAGGGGGCAACCCACCCCTGGTACTGTAGATTTTCTTAACAGTGGTATAGTTTGGGAGTCTCTATCCTCATCTTACCAAACATACATAAAACTCCCGAGAGCTGGGTGTGGTGGCGCATGCCTTTGGTCCCAGCACTTGGGAGGCAGAGGCAGGTGGATCTCTGTGAGTTCAAGGCCGGCCTGGTCTACATAGTGAGTTCCAGGACAGCTGGGGCTACAGGGAGACCCTGTCTCAAAAAGACCAAAAAAAAAAAAAAAAAAAAAAAAAACCTCCCAAGAATCCTACAGCTCTAGCTGGCCTTGGCTTTTTCAAGTATCTTTCAAATGGGTTTCACATCTGTAAAACACTCGAAGGAAGGAACATTAACGTTATATATTAAACCACTCATAGACAAGGTCTCACAAAGCATGGAAAGGTTTTGTCCATTTGTATTAACTGTTTTCTCCATAGATCCTTGTTAGGTAACATAGCATGGGTACGAGGCATTAATTTGGTTAGCCCTTTACCATTTTTAGTTATCCTTTTGGAGTCATTTTGCACTTGGGGGATTTTACATGGGGTCTTTTTGTATTCTTTTATTCTTGATACACTTACAGGTGTTGGCTCCAGTTGCCTGACCCTGCACTGTGCTAAGGAGGCAGAGGGCTTCTCCTGTCCCCACTGCACTTGTGGGTTCCGAGTCAGGCAGGCTCTGGGTCTGCCTCCTGACTATAGCCATATCTGTCCTCTTCCCATTGACCACACCAGGTTGCTGATGGAGAATTTGGTGGGAAAACCTGCTTCCACCCCTAGTATAGACTTTATCAGAAGAGAAATGTATCTTATTTAATCCTTGGGGGTTCTTAACCACCCCTTGTACAGTTTTTATTCTTCAGATGTCCTTTGTAAACTGTTCTGCTTTTAAAACCTTCCAGAAATGCCTTAGTACCAAATTTGGTTTTCTATCAGTTTTTTCTCTGGGGATTTGGGCTTGACATAAGTCTTGCCACATTTGTCT